GTGTTTGATGGTTTAGATATGGACAATGAGTAGAAAAGCGTTCTTAATGATGGAAGAGGTAAAACACGTGATAGAGTACGCAAAACTCCGTGGTCTTTACTCAGCCCCTGACAGACGTAGTAAATGTGTTTATTGAAGGAAAAATTATTGTTGATTATTAAACCAATGCATTTAAAATCATGGACCCATTCTAGAACTGTCCCATTGAAGCTGATGTCACGTAGTGAGGAAACGGGTCTGAGAGTAAAAAGAGTCAACTTAATCTTATCTGTGTGGGCCACAAGCCTGTTTTTTTAAGAGCCATCTAGACAAATTCACTGTTTGACCCGAAATATACTCACACGCTTCATTGTAGGAACTTCTCGAGACATAGCATCATTGTAGGAACTTCTCGAGCATCGTCTGCAAAAAGTTTGCAGTTTGAGTTAAAAGACGAGGCGATATCATTGATAAAAATATTAAAAAATAAACGCCCAAATACAGAGCCCTGTGATACACCTATATTGATGGATCCTATATGGGGGAATTGAACTCGTTCAATGCGACAAACTGCTCTCTGTTCGTGAGGTAAGACTGAATAAGTGAGAGGAAAGTCCCCCTAATTCCATAACGGTGGAGCTTACCCAATAGAACTTGGTGATTTACATAATCAAAGGCCTTTTGTATGTCCAGAAAAAGCACAACACAACATTCTTTAGAATGATATGTCTCAAGAAGGTCTAGAACTAAATAAATTATAGCCATAGCTGTATTGGTTACCTTACGGTAGCCAAATTGAGCATCAGATATTATTAAAAACTTGTTGACAAATTGACTAGTCTAGAATGGAGAATTTTTTCAAAAATTTTATTAAGAAATGGTAAGGTTGATATTAGACATTACGATAATTAAAAACATTGTGCAGGTCAGAGGATTTAAAAACACGTTTCAGTGCATCGGGATACACAGCACTGGACATGCATAGGTTAAAAATATGAGCCAAAACTGGTGCTTCAGTGTCAGCTACAAGATACAACATTCTTGGCTGAACTTCATCGATCTGGAGTGGCTTGCCCTTGCATAATCGTAAAAATTTCTTTACTTCAAGTTCAGAAGTAGAGAAAAGCAAGCAGGATGCCTCACAGAAAGAAATTTTGTGCGTCACATTGTTTAAAGGACCTAAGTTTTTAGTGATTGTTAAATTCAATTAATTATTAAATTCAAATAATTGTTAAATTCAATTGCTGCCTCGCTACCAAAAATTAACTTGCTATTTTTCAACAATTTAATTCATTTGTTAGCAACATTTTTTCTAATTAAGGTGTTGACAATTTTCCATAGAGCTCTCGAGTCATTCGACCTCTGCATGATTTTGGCGGAGTAGAATTGTTTGTTAATATCTTGATTAGCGCATTTAGGACATTCCGGTAAATGGTGAACGATCGGCGAAGAATAATACCAGAGCGGGAAAGCTTTAGAAGTTTATACGTCTTCTTAATGGCAGGTTTAATTTCGGTAGACACCCAAGGAGGCCTATGTTTTCTTACCGACACAAACTTTATGAGAAAGGATTCATCATAAATTTTTGAAAATCTGACATAAAAGAGTTCATTGCTAAGTTAGGCTCGTTAATATTTGATAGAAATGCCGATATTGACCTCATTCATTAAGCAAATTTTTTCAGAGGCGAAACAAACGTCAAATTTACACCAAACGTGGTCGAGTAACGAGTACGGGGCAATAAGATTTTGGGAGAGATTCTGGTTAGTTTGGTTATGACTGGATAAAAATTACTACACAAACTGATGCTTAAGTTTAATGGCAGATCATGTATGATCGCCATGAGTAGTTTCTATAATTCATGGAATGATGCATGCGATGGTGAGATGGTCTATATCGGCTATGATGGTGAGTAACAGTGCTGGTTATATTCAAACAATCTCATATGTGTATGTTAAAATACAATTATAATGTATTTCAAACGCTTCTAATAGATTTTGATATAGTTTGTATACGAAACCATTTTGAATATTTTTCTAACTAATGTCGCAATCTAACTTATTAGTATGATGACTAATGCTTACCATTTAAGGAATATTTCACTGAAACGACTGAATACCCTAATCAAATTTATAGAATACCGGACGAAACAAATTCTGAAAGATCTAACGTGAACAACTAAGGAATACTCGATAAAGAGTCTTGAAGGGCCGAGAAATTTAGTTTAAACACATCGCCCTCATGTAAATCTTGAGCTAGGCTATTGATTTCAAAGTCTCGACATTCCTCATAAATTCTGCACGATCTTTTCCTAATTTTTAAAATGGCATTCAAACGAAATTATTCCACAATTTGCCTTTTTCTCTAAAATATGAATGTTGTCTGGATTTTTATTCTCATTAGTCTTGGGAGAATTTATTGAAACTTTCATTACCTTTTTTCTGTACTTATATGATGTATTAAATCAGGGCTTGAGCGAAGTTTTTGTTAGGAAGTTCACATTGAAATTTTGAATGCTATTAAACGGCTATGTTTTAATTTTTTCAAAAAAGGGAGTTTATGTTTTGTTTTACTTGAGAAACCACCCTTTTTTAAAGAAAAGGCTTTTTACATAACTTGACCTCAATATTTACTCGTACAATCCTCAAACCCGCATAATTACATCTGCTATTCTCGACTAGGATGAAAAATTAAAAATTTTACATAGCCGGGTGATTTGACCTCGAGATACTCTTACATTGAAGCTCACGATATCGTCGATTAAATGCCAGAATCTATAAAATGAGGAGAAAAATAAACACCCCCTGGCCTAAAAAGAGGACACTGAACTTTTTGAAGTTCAGAGCCGGGACAAATTACTAATCCTTTCCCTAGGATATACAAAAAAATCAGTAAAACATCGAGCTTTCTATAAATTAAATTGAATTTCTCTCGAAAGGATTGTAATTCATTCCAACAACCAATAAACAAAAAGCTTGAGATTTGATCAAAGTACTGAATGAGTTACGAAGAACTATGAACTTGAAGTGGTTCTTCCGCAATAAAACAAAGAAAATGACTTCATTTAACACAAAATCAGTATGGAATCACCCTGAAAAATAAAATATCTCATTGTAAAACTTTTACAAAAAAATAGATATGAAATCCTGGGAATGTCAAGGAAGAAAGTGAATAATAATCTCTCCCATTTAGAGAGAGAAGCCCTTCAAACACAGCAATCCCGAAAAGACATAATGATAAAACCAGCGGATAAATGACGTGCTATTGTAATACTAAATTGAGAACACTATGTAAAAACTCTTCACAAGAATACAGAACATTACAAAAAACTGGGAGAGAATCTCATTAATGATATTTACGGAAAAGTTCAACTCAAGTGTCTGGAATTAAAAAAATCAGGACAGGTAAATGAAAAAACTTACCAGTTAATGAAACAAAAGAAAGAAGAAATAAAAAACGCCCACAATATACATGCTACCAAAAATAAACAAGATAATACCTCCCGAACAGCCATTTATAGGCAGACCTGTTAACGCCAGCATGTGGAGGCCAATGCGTGAAACTAAGTGCATTTGTGTACTACTTTTCATTACTAATTGTAAAGAAACAGCAAACAAAGCTAAAGGACAGTCAAGAACTTCTGTGTTGGGAACAATCAATTTGAGCCCGAACGTATTACTGATATCGCTGGGCGTTGTATCTATAAATACAAACATATCACTAAATGAGGCGATAAGAACAAACGTGGAGGCTTACCACGCGAGTACTTTCCCGCACGAAAATAATATGATTAACACGATGGTTTTTAGGGATATCCTTAAGCTTGTTCTAGAGAACAACTTTCTTGAATTCAATGGAAACTATTACAAAGAAAAGATTGGTGTGGCTTAGAGTTCTAAATGCTCACTGGAAGTTGCTGACATATTCATGCACTCTATAGAGACCAGATTTCCCGAGAGAATACCAAGACTAGTTCTGTACAGAAGATACAGAGATGATAAATTGGGCATAAGTGAAGCAAGTAAACTTCAAATTCCCTCATTCAACGAGGACTTAAATTTACTCCACGAGTCTATCAAATTCATTCCTGAAATGAGCGACCACGAACTAAATTTTTTGAATCTCACGATATACAAGGGTGAAAACTTTAAGAAGAACGGCATGCTTGACCCAAAAACCTTTTTCAAACCGACCGAAACATTTCAGTACATAAATGCATCTAGCGCCTACCCTAACTTCTGTTTGAGAGGTTTTATAAAAGGCGAAATCTTAAGACATAAGAGAAACTGCAATAACGTTTCAGACTTCATAAAAATTGTGCTACCTTTTTACAAACATTTAAAGTAAAGGGGATATAGCAAATAACTGTTCATGGAGCAACGTAAAGAAGTTCAAAAGAGGAATACAATTGAAAATAAACCCTTGAAGCGTACACTTTTCTTTAAACCAAAAACAACCCTAGCACATCAGACCATGAACCGAGGAAAGTTTTTAAAAAGCACGAGCATTTTGTAAATTAAGATACCGACCCTCAAACCTATCTTCCCCTCACCACCAACCATTTCATTCAAAAGAAATAAAACCCTGAAAGAATTCCTAGTCAAGTCGAGGCTGGAAAAAACAAACTCAGAAAACGAAGAGCTGAATATACTAATAGATTTCCGGTAAGGAAAAGATATCAATAAACAGATTCCAAGAGCCTGATGAGGAAAACGAAATAGTTTTGTCAACAAACCAACTTAAAAAAGCTTTTTGTGTTAATTGAAATAACGCTATCGCTCTTACAGAATTATAAGGAATTATAAAAATACATAAAAACAAATATTTAATCTAACCGAAAAAGGGCTCTAAAAATTAAAATATCAGAAATAGATATTTTAATACAACCAAAGAGGAAACTTTCAAACTTGGTCACCTCTTAAAATATATGCCTCATTCTTTATTTCTTTATTCTCGCATATCGTGAGATCCAAGAGATTTAGCTCGTGGTCGCTCATTTTCAGATTGAGTTTGTGTCATAAAATTTCTGTTGTAACGCCCGCATGTACCTAGTATTCCGTACTATAGTTCCTATTAGTAAGTTACTTCGCTCTAGAACTAATGACAATTGTTAGCATTGACTCGGCTCTTGTACGTTCAAGACCTACAACTACTGTTCTCCTTGTAAGTATTCTGTAAATAGTTTCGTTATGTGTAAGACCTTCACATATCAATATATTCTTATTACGTTGCCGTTTTCCTGTTTTATAGTAGTGTTATTTTGTTCCAGGATGTTGCGTTCTTGTTGAATAAAGCTCATGTTGAGTTACCTCGGCTTTCGCTTACGACAGTTTGATAGACTCATGGAGGGAATTTAAGTCCTTGAGGAATGAGTGAATATCAAGTTTACTTGCTTCATTTACGATCAGGATGTCATCTTCGTATCTTTTGTGCAGAACTAGTCCTGGAATCATATCGAGGAAAGTGATTCCCTATACTTGCACGAACGAATGAGTAATTTCCAGCGAGTAATTGGAACCAGGAGGGATTATTCTATGAAGTAAGGCATATCCCATGAAATTATTCTAGAAAAATAACCGGATGGCCCTAATATTTGAGCAAAAAATGAAAGCTATGGAGGGATGAGTGACCAATAAATATTTTGCATCTTAAACACAAAAAAAAAACAGAGAAGGATTTTCTTCGGGTAATACTGATCATAAATACGAAGAAAGTTTCGGATAGATGGCCACTCGTTTCGTGAGCTGAACCTTCTTTTACATACGTCCAATTATTTCAAGGAAGCCAGATTAGGATTTCTCTCAAAAACTTAAAAAAAAAACATTTCAACCATGGCCCAATAATTTGAATAAAAATAATAATTTTCCTGATGATAATCATGCCATCTAGTTTATCGAATTTTGACAGGGTTTTTCCTAGTCCAAGCTCGTAAAACTAACAATGAAGTACATTTATCAAAGCTGTTAACTATACGAGTTTAGGGTCATTTATCTCTGACATGATTCGGCGTCTTCCTCGCAGCTCAGCCGTAGCACATCATTCTTTTATCTCTGAGAGAGTCTCACACGGCTTGGTGGTCTTGGTGGTGTCGACGCACATGTAGGGAAGTGCAGCGATACACGGCGCAGACCCGAGTTTTCCGGACTGCTGGATGACCACGCAGGTGGTGGTGTCAGCACTATCCCACATGTCAGCGGCCACTGGAGTCCTGCTGGGCATGTGGACCCAAGCGCCGTCGATGTATTGCACATTCACCCAGAAACCCGGTGTCCCTAAAAAATCCGTGAAATATTTTGTTGCGAAATTATAATTAGAATTTTTAATTTATAGACTGTTGTCATAATACTAGATCAGAAAATATTCTCTCACACCAGAAGGTCTGTTGATTTTAGTTTCTCGGTTGGAATCGGACGCAGAATTTATAGTGATCGAATGGACTTCTCGATAAGAAATGTCGGCCTTATTTTTACGACTTTTTTTTTTATTTACAAAAAAATCTTTTTTTTTTTTGTCTGAGATTATATTGCATCCTTATATATCAAAAGATCAATGATAAAACATATTTACGAAATATATTTGACTCTCCCTTGACAAGACAATTCAAGGAAATTATGACATGAATTCATTGGAACAAACCCAAAAGTTACACAATAGTCATTATAAAAAAGTACCACAATAACAAAGTAAACAATGAACATTTTAGTTCATACATCTTGGAGGCGTACATGAGATTTGCAAAGTATATGTCTGCATTGCCTCCTCAGAACTGGAAAAGATAGCCAAATACCGTAGTTTTCTCACCAGGTTTCGTGGCGACGGCTGTCATTACGGCATTCAGGTTCTCCTCCGTGTCTACTTGGGCCAGCTCGAGTCCAAGCAACCCACATGTGGTAGCTGCCGCACAGAAGCTCGCTGACGCAGACCCATCTGTTACGATGAGGATGTGGGGGATTGCTTCTGTTCCAATGCAAGATACTGCTCCATCCGAAGGGATTGCTACTTCAGTTCCATCTAAGAAATATGGAAAAATAGTCAATAAGTTGAACAGTTAATGTGTAGGAACACCGAATACTTGAAAACCGTAAGACTGATATGTAATCAGAATTCACGTACATAGAATAATTTTAAAAATTTGCCTAATTCCTGTAGAATAGTAAGATTATAAATGACATTTTCAGCACCCACCTCTGTAAAACCCGTGAAAACAAAGTTAGAAGCATCTTCCTGTTCAATTTGGCACGCTGTATAACACTCTTATTCAACTATTGCGGTTCCATGGAAAATACGCAAAGACTTGTAATGCTGTTATTTGATTCGCAGTCCTATTGCATGGCCCGAGCTTTTATTCCGTGAATCAGGAAAGTAATATTACTTGCCAGTTCTTTGTTTATTGTAAACTGCTATAGCGAACTGCAAAAATATTATTCATTATTAAAATTTAACAATAAATATGTTTTATCTTGTATTGCCGGTCGTTTTTCCACCTTGAACAGTTACCGTCTTTCCAACACACGTCGAGTAGCACATTCCATCGCTCGTTATGTTTTGGCCATCCAAGAACCCTCCAAAAGGAGTGACGCACCCACTGTTACCTGAGGAGAAATAATTACTGTGAATTATTGATATATTATTGAAATTGTACATAAATTATTGGGGCGAGGACACCTATAACAAGAAGAGATGAAGCCCTCGTGGAGGTGGCGAGGAGGAACAATGCAGCTAATTGCGTAAACTTAGTTAGAATGGGAAGGAGAAGAAAGCGGCAGAACGAAACGGTGATCTCATAAGTGATGCCGATTACAGTTTGATAGATGACCTCTTCTGGAGGTTCATCCGTAGCAAAAATAAGGGTAAAAAGGCCTTTGGAACCACTTAAGCTTGTAGAGCAAGATTGCCCACGTCAAAGTTACCCTGCTTTAACTCAGACGTATTTCTTACATATATATCGCGATCTATCGTAATAATGAGTGTATCTGACGTAACCTTGCACGTAACAGGGAGGCATGACAACACAATGATCCAGACATTTATTACAGTAAATTTCTAATTATGTTGTAAACCACATGATATTAAAACACATTTTAAACACAATATGCCCTACACTGTTACTCACCATATAAGCTGATGTAGACCGTCTGACCATCGCACGCTTGATTCTCAGGATCATAGAAACCATTCATGGCGACCATGCAGGACCCTCCATTGAACTTGAACATCAGTTTGGCTGTTTATACAGAGCATGGTTAACGCTACGTAAAATAAATGGCACGAAGCTATAACAGAGTGAACAATTTAACACTTATTTAGCAATTGTTTACAATGCATTTTAAGCAAATATTGTTATTAACCAAAGATTTTACCAGGATTAATATTTTCTCGTTCGATTTTACTCCGCATTGAAATTGGAAAAAATGAACTTGCCTTGTCTTATTACTCGCTTCAAATTTTTATTAGAATAGCATCCACTAAAGCCAATGTTATTGTTCTCTCTCATTTAAAATAATAAAATCAAGTATCTCAGACATACAATTTCACATTGACAGTGGATATGAAGAATTACCAGCGTCCACGGTGGCCTGGGCACAAGCGAAGAGAGTCGTGGCAGCGTCAGCGACCTGCCATGTGATGTTCTGAGCACTTGAGCTTGTGACCTGCTGGAAGCCTTGTTGCCCTACGACTACCAACCAGAGACTTCCCGTCAGCGAAGCTGCTTGCTTGATGCACGTCGAGAACAGGCTGCTTCTCAGAGAAGTTTCCAAGCCATACTGATGACAAACGAAAAAAACGAGTACAAATTGATAGAAAAAAGCGATTAGTATGCGATAAAAATATTCAATATTAATTGTTTTTGAATCGGGTTATGTGTAACGCATATAAAATTGCGAGGCATTTTTTTTTTGAGTTGATGGTTTGATGACGTTGCCTTCAAGTTCATACTCTATTAGGTGAGCAGATGAGAACGAACAAAAATGTTAAGAATTAGATGTCTCTCCTAATAAATAAATTACGTCTGCAGTAGAAACATTTGCCTAAATAATTAAAAAGATGGACGGAGCAAGGTTCCCATATGTATTCCTACATTCGTTGTTATTATTTCGCGAAATTGTTGCGGATAACGCTCTAATCAACCCTTTATATAATCAAATAACACGATCACATTTATCAATATCGCAATTTTCACATTTTACTCACCGTTTCAATGACTTCGTTGGCGCGAGGAGAGGTCAGTTCCTGAGGGACAGGCACAAGAAAATTTTGTTATCAGAGGGATTTTTCACAATGCAATCATTGGACAAACATATGATGATCGGCGAGGTAATTTACTAAAATAGTATAACCTAGCGATAATCATATAGAGAAGGAAGCTAAATTGATTCAGAATTTATCTGCACGATAATTTCTCAGAATGTAAATAAATTCGATACTAAAAATTTGGATGTGGAACTCGTGAACTGAATATTCACGAAATTTGTGAACTGAATATTCGCCAAACTCGTGAAATGATTTAATGAATAATTCGAAAATAATTATTAATTAACATTTAGGCGGTTACGTAATTATTGAAAAAAAATCAACAAATTCTTGCTCAGCTCTTATCCGTAGGTAACAACCAAATGAAACATAATTTTAGAGGTGAATCAAAGTTATATAGAAAATGCTGATGACACATCGATAGTTAAATACAATTAAAATTAAATTAATTATTATATAATAAAAAAATAAATAAAATGTCCTAATAATAATCACAGAAAACAGCACATATATTTATGAATATAACAGTCTGTATTTCGTACCGTTGCAATGGCAGACGAGACTGCCACCAGCAGCGTCAGAAGTAAGGCAGGCGTTGCCATCGGACGTTGTTGCTCAAGCGAGAGTCGCACTCGAACTGGCGGCGCATTCGCCCCCGCGGCCACAAGTTAGAATATTTTCACAGGTGTTTACCGCTGTACTTACACGTGTACTAAACTTCAAATTACTTTCATACGTGTTTACCGCTGTACTTACACGTGTACTAAACTTCAAATTGGCTCAAATGTGCTGCGGCTGATGCAACCCATTTAATGAAACGTTTTTTCGAGAAGACTGCGTTTTTTTTAACATGGTTCTCAGTTCAGTTTTAGAACTAAGAACTGGTAGGCACAGGTTTCAAAATGTAATTTTACTCCAGAAAATTGCTCATTCTTTAATCAAAAGTTCAAAAAGTAGTCTGAAAAATCTGCATTACTTTTATTTGTATTTTTTTATATTTTGACTATCAAGTCATTATTCTTCTACTACAGTCATTACGGATTATTCTAATCACTCGAAAAACTGATATAAAAAACTTGTATAATGGAACTTTAGTACTGCATTTGTGTGTTAATTGTGCAGAGCCAGGCGCTTCATTACTTCAGCCTTATGCCACAATGCATTTGAATTTGTGGTTAGATCATTAATTAGCGGCTGAATTAGCGTCTGTGATTGGCGGGTTTATCTTGTAAAGCCGTTATTGATTGGCTGACAGAGTTAAGAACATTTAGTTTTGATAGTATGGCCCCAGATCATGTGCATTGGCCTCAGTGTTGCCTTCACAGTTTGTATATATAAGTTACCCGTATCTTTGGGCCAATGTATATAGGCACACCTGAAGAGCGAGTCCGGGATCTGGGAATGCTTTAAGTTTCGGCTACATGCTCTTGTGGTATGTACATTTACATGTTATATTCTTTTACGACCCAATACAGTTGATACAAACTTGGATGGACCTGTCTAAATGACATCCTCTCTCAACGATCTATCGATTCAATTAGTCATTCAACATCAACTCGAACTTAACGAATGAATAAGAAACGCGGTAGTGCTTTTGCATCTGATATTCTAAATTTTGATCCTAACCTGGATATTCAATATAATTCTAGCAGCTCAACCCGGCCCTGAAATAAATAAATCATCCATTGACTTTGAAAATCTCTTCATTCCCAATACGGGCAGTCTGCATCTCATTATCCCGAATCTTGTTTCTACTTATCAAACTAAAGCAATGTGAGTGAGAGTTACACTCGTTCCAGTTAACGTAGAATTCTCATGTAATTCGCGCTTCGAAAATTAAGTTTTTCATTTCTTAACAAAAATCGAAGCAACGAAATTAATTTTTTTATAAAAAAGCTTTATAAACTTTGTTTATTGTCTCATCTATCTCTAAAACTGTAATTTCGGGTCGAGGTTATAAGGTCGGCACGGAAGTGACGCAATACGCACGCACCCAAACAAAATCTTCCACAAAATAAGCTACATTATTTATTAATGACAAGACAAATATTATGTTGGGATTGCTTATCAGTGTGTTTCAAGCTTCGCTTCGCTGCGCTCGACCGGCCCAAATGATATTTTCGAAATCGTCGATTTCAATCTGAGGGCATTTACCCTCGGGAAACTAGCATTTTCTGTTTCCGGAGGCAAGGGAAAGTTCAAATTAGAAAATAATAATAATTCAAGTAAGAAAGTAATAAAACAATAATTCTGCATGGGGGCAAGGGAAAATTCAAGTAAGAAAGTAATAATTCAAGTAAGAAAGTAATAATTCTTACCTGCCAAACATTAGTCCGCGAAAAAATTATTAACTTCGCTTGAATCAAGCCGCCACATGTCGGCGGGCTGACTCATGGTTTGCAGTTTGATGGCAAGTGTTAGTACACTTGTAATGTTGGGGACCGGAATGAACTTTCTCTTATGACTTGAAAAGATATTGCATCGCCTTCCCCTCCTTTCTCCACCCATAGCTAGCGGGTTCAATGGACTTCTTCAGTTTATAGACGTCGCAATCACAAGTTTGAAGTGAAAGTTCCCATTGGGAATTTCGTCAGCTTTCTGCATCAATGGGGTCAGACTGACTCATGCTCTACATGATTCATAGACTTGTCTAAATAAAGATGAATAATATTTACAGTTAACCATTAATCAATAAACAATATTTAGGTTAACCATTAACCAATAAACAATATTTAGGTTAACCATTAACCAATAAACAATATTAACAGCTAACCACTAAGCAATGAACAATATTTACAGTTAACATTAACCAATGAAAGAACAATATCCACAGTTAACCATTACCCAATAAACAATATTTATAGTTAACCATTAAGCATTGAACAATATTTAAAGTTAACATTAACCAATGAAAGAATAATATTTACAGTTAATATTTAACCAATAAAAAATATTTACAGTTAGCCATTAACCAATGAACAATATTTACAGTTAACCAGTAAACAACATTTACAGTTAGCCATCCAATGGAGAATGGCAAACATTCCAAAACATGGTAGATCGTTATACCTAAAATAATTTACTAATTATTAAAGCAAAATATTACTTTTCGTAGCACTACACACATAGCAAATCACCAATGCTCATGGGAACGGGATACAATGATTGAATTTTAACGCTCACTTTGAAAAAGTGTCTCGTGAACGCTGCGTTGCGCGATACCAAGCGTAGCACCGTGTTGCCCAGCGAGCGCGCTATATAAGCCTGCTTACCGATCAGCGTAAAAATCTAGCTGTGGGAGTACAAGTATATAATATAATTAATTTAAACATTAACAACAAATATACATTTACATGACATCTATTTAAACAAACTTTAAGAGAATACGATGATGTTTAAGTAAACCAGCTTATGTGCTTCAGCAGAATTGGAGCAGTGAGTTGTGAGTTCGGGTCCGAAACAAGCTGTGAATGTTCTGCGATGTTAAGAATCGGCGACGGGCTTACGGCCTACTAACGCTGAACCCGCTATATTTATTTATATTATGTGGTACCTATATCATCAAAATGCGGAGTGTGATAATTTCGAAAATATCATTTGGGCCTAAGAGCGCAGCGAAACGAGGCTTGAAACACACTGATGAGTAATCTCAATAGAATATTTGTTTTGTCATAAATAAATAATGTAGCTTATTTTTGTGAGAGATTTAGTTTGGGTCGTGCGTATTGCGTCACTCCGGTGCCGATCTTATAACCTGGACCCGAAATTTGATTTTTAGATTTATATTCATGCAACAATAAACTATTTTGACAAAACTTTTTTAGTTTCGGGAAAATGTAATATTGTTGATTTGATTTTCATAAGGAAATAAAAATTTAGTTTTTAAAGCGCTTGTTACATGAGAATTCTACGTAATAGGCGGCTGGACCGAGTGTAACTCTCATTCACATTGCTTTAGTTTGATAAGTAGAAACAAAATTCGAGATAATGAGATGCAGACTGCCCGTATTCGGAATTAAGGAATTTCCAAATTCAATACATTATTTATCTCTGTCAGGTCTGTTATTTGTCAAGTTGCAGGAATTCTATTATATATCCAGATGTACAATAAAATTGAAAATATCTCATGCAAAAGTACTTAGGTGTTTATTATTCTTTCAACAAGTTCGAGTTGATGTTGAGTGACTAATTGAATCGATGGATTGTTGAGAGAGAATGTAATTTTAACAGGTCCATCTCCAAGTTTGTAGGGCAACGTGGGGCAGCGCGCCCCCCACTTTTTTTAAACTAAATTTTTAATGAAGTTTTAATTGATACGAGGTGGTTCTTTGTTTTATTTAAAGGTACAACTAATGAGGAATGTATGATGTGAATTAGACGCCTATAGATCTGTCTCTTATACACATCTAGATGTGTATAAGAGACAGGGGCATANTGTTGTTGTTGTTGTTGTTGTTGTTGTTGTTGTTGTTGTTGTTGTTGTTGTTGTTGTTGTTGTTGTTGTTGTTGTTGTTGTTGTTGTTGTTGTTGTTGTTGTTGTTGTTGTTGTTGTTGTTGTTGTTGTTGTTGTTGTTGTTGTTGTTGTTGTTGTTGTTGTTGTTGTTGTTGTTGTTGTTGTTGTTGTTGTTGTTGTTGTTGTTGTTGTTGTTGTTGTTGTTGTTGTTGTCCTGTGCGTTGAAATGGACAACTGGACGTGAGTTTGGGAGCGAGATAATCGAAGCACAAATTATTTTTCAGTTTTTTTATTAATATAAAGAAATTAGGGACCCTGGATACAAGGGTGACTGAAGCAAAGTAGGCATGTAGGGCCTGCTAACTGTTCAGTGATAGTATTGTATTTATCCTAATAAATGTTATGCCCTGTTGGCACTTTTAAATTAAAAATAGAAGGTTAAATAAAGGTTCAATTAATCCTTTAGTTAAATATGAAAAATATTTGGAAGAAAGTTTGTTAGACTTAGCTCCAAATAAAAGTGGCTCGTATAAATGCCTAATTACTGTACATTTGGCTTAGACATAGCGACTACATTGCTGTGACCGCGCTGTATGTTAGTGGTCAGGGGACATAGTTCATATACCGGGCCCTTATATTGGGCTGGTATTGGAAATACACATCCCTGTTGTGTATTTCCCTGTTGTTGTAATACACAATTACCAGATTTGATCAAGAGGCCAGTCTAGCCAAGAAAAGTACAAGAATCGGCGACAGGCCTATCCAGGCCTATTCTTCCATGTCGAAGATTACTATACTATACTATACTATACTATACTATACTATACTATAAAAATTTAACAGAGCCAGGTGATTTGACCTCGAGATACTCTTACATTGTAGCTCACGATATCGTTGATTAAATGCAGAATCTATAAAATGAGGAGAAAAATAAGCACCCCTTGGCCTAAAAAGAGGCCACTGAACTTTTTTGAGGGGCTCTACATATATCAAGAACCAGTACAACATCGAGCTTTCTATAAACGAAATTGAATGGCTCTCGAAACGATTGTATTTCATTCCAACAACCAATAAACAAAAAGCTTGAGATTTTACCAAAGCACTGAATGAGTTACGAAGAACTATTAACTTGAAGTGGTTCTTCCACAATAAAACATGAAAATTACCCCATTTAAAACTAAATCAGTATGG